CTGAACTGCCTGGTAAGTGAAAGTCGCTGTTTCCACAGCGGTTTTGCCCACCCGGGTGCTCCAGGGAGGTGCTGGGAGCAGCAGGTAGAGTGTCCCAACCCCTCTGGGTGTCCAGGGCTGTCCCAGAGGCTCCTCTCAGTGAGAGCTGCTCTCTGTGCTGCTGGGGAGGCTGTCCTGACATCCATCAAACTGATCTTTCCGGGCCCGATGGAAGCAAAGCTGTCACTTGGAGATGACAAATCGGGGTTGAAGCGGCAGCTGCCGTGGGGTTCTCTGGGGGCTCTGCAGGAGCAGTTTGGGGCTGGCAGGGCTGGGCAGGGGGAGGCAGGCAGTGACCCCTCAGCCCTCTCTGTGTCTCTGCAGGGCTGCTGGAGATCTTCCTCCTTTGGCCTCCCTTTCACTCCAGCAGAGCAGCTGCTAAACCCTCGCGGTTTGTTTGTTTGTTTGTTTTTCTGCTTTTTGTTTGTGGCGCTCTCTGCAGTGCCGGCTGCCTTCTAATCCTGCTGCTGCCCTGGCCAGCCCAGCTCCAGCTCCTGTTAATCAGGTGCCTGCACTCCAGCCCCCGAGTGGTTTTGCCACCTGCTGCCCTCGTTCTGTGTGAGTCCTGCTCTCTGGAATGGGAGCTGCATTCCAGAGTAATGCCCAATTCAAGAGGGCTTTCATTCCCTCTGTGTCCTGCAGAGCACATTTCCCTCTGGGCCACCTTTGCCTCTCATGCACACGCTCGGGACGTGAGTTAAGGAAGGTTTAAATATGTGTTGTTTGATCCACTCTCCTAATGCCAGTGATTTCAAACTGTCCTAAATGCCCAAGCCTGCAGACAGGCGTGTGCTGATGGTTTCTATTAGATACAGGATGAAAAACAGGCAATTATGTAAGTTGTCCATAAAATATTTACAGTTCTGCATTAGACACGGCAGGCACTGAGTTGCTGCGTTGGGAGCGAGGGTTTGGAGAGGCAGGAAACGCCTTGGGCCAGAGGCTGGGCTGCCCTGGGAGGTGGGAGGGCTGTTCCAGGTGATGTTCTGTAATCAGGGAGGTGCCAGGAGGAGATGGGGAAGGATGGAGCCCCAGCTTGGTGAGGAAATGCTGTCGGGACGTGGGAGATGTTAAACGTTGAAAACTGTCCTCTCATCCCTCGGGAGGAGTGGAATTGGAATGATAAAATCCTGCTGCTTTCACGGCAGTGCTTTGCCAGGTTTGACTCTTTGCTGTCTGATACTGAAACATTTATCTCTGAAATATTTATCCCATCGGGTCTCTGAGAATGCTGCCCTCTCACTTTAACAATTCTGCGTGTTTGAGGTTTCCCTAATGTGCTTTTTCATGCTTCATATGGGAGCAGACAATTAAAATTGCAAAGCCAATGGAAAATCTCTTTAGAGTGCAATGTCTGGGTGTCAGTGAGATTGGCCTTGCAGAGCTGAGGTCTTGGGTGAGCTCCCAGCTCAGAGCTGCAGAGCTGCCTGTGGGACAGCATCAAGTCCTGCTGTGGTTTAGGAGCCTGTGGGGCTTCTAAATGTGGTTGAAAACCAATAATTGGGGCTGCTCAGGGCTGTCTCTGCAGGGCTGTGCTGCACTTGCTGGTTCATCTTTAGCTGCTGCTTCTCTTAAAACACATTTCATGTAGGTTATAGCATGGTGGTTGTGTCTGGGAGAAGTCAAACAGATTTAGTGCTTCTGCTTATATCCATATTTATATTTTATATTTATATTTGAATCTTTATTTTTATTTTTACTTATTTTACTTATTCTTATTTTTATTTTAACATGTCTATGTTTATGTTTATAGCAGTGGTTTTCCAAGTCCTCTGGCCTGCTCAAGCACAGCAGGATTTTTGGGAGGCATTTCAGAAGCCCAGCCAGGCTCAGCCTTTGGCTGCACTCATAGCTTGGTTCATTTCTTCACACATAATTTCAGTTTGTCTCCTTGTTCCCCGTTTAGGACACGGATGAGGAAGATCCCTACTGACCAAAGCTGTGGAAAAAGACCAAAGTTACAGCACTGAAAATCATGGTTAGACCCTTCCAGAGGCTGCTGGGTAACCAGTGCAGACTGAAGGACGTGCTCTGCTCTCAGTGGATTGCAATAATAATGCTGATGGGATAATTCTCTTCCATTTAAACACAAAATAATGATTTCCTAAAAATCTTTCTAATTTATTGGGGAAAAGGAAATCTCTTGCCCTCGGATCTGTGGGGCCCAGAGAAGCCTCAGTGCCCACAGTGCCAATGTGCCTTGGTTTTCCTGCAAGCTGCTTTGGTTCATTGGTTTGATTTTTTGATTGTTTTGGTGACATCCCTCTTTTCCTGAGCCCTGGAAATCCAACTTTTTGAAGTAAAGGCTGCCCCAGCTCTCTGGGCACTGCCAAGGTTCGTTCTCAGGTTTTTTGGAACATACTGACTCACAGCAGTTTGATGAAGTGATACCTGGCATCCTCTGTGCTGGACTGAAGATAACCTACTGCTTTTGAAGTATTTTTTTATTCAGCTGCACCACTGGGTACTGCTCCTTCTACCTGTAGAAGCGAAGCACAATTCATAGAAAACCATTTTTTTCTTCTTCTTCTTTTTTGAAATCAGAAATGCAAATGGGGACTCTGTTTCTGGGGACACACAACCCCATCTACCTCAGCCATGGACTCAAGCACTGCCCAAAGGAATGTTCTGTTTGCAGTAGTTGTTTTCTTCCTCACTTCTTCTAGGACCTGGTTTAGGGAAATGGTTAATTGTGAAGCAATTACTTCCCCTTGGTGAAGGGCATTTCCTCTTTCACCAGCCTTGTGCACAATGAATAGCAGACAGCAATGGAATTCATTCACTCAATCCCTAAAAAGCTGCTTTCTTTCTGTATCAGTCTAATATTCTCCTTTTACAGATGTGCTCCAGGTTTACTGCTGATTTTGCTGTGCAATTACCAATAAATTCCATTATTCCATTCTGGGCTGTGGGTCTCTGTTTATTTGGCTAAATACAGCTGAACCCATAAAAAACTGCCATCCTGAGGTGTAAAAATTGTCGTTTGATGGTGGGTGAAGGTTTTTAGGGAGCAGATTTAACCCTAAAGAGGACAAGTACCCCCCTTCAGCATCTCTGCTGGCTGCAGCTTTCAGGTGTGGCGAGATGTAGGTCAGCTGTAGATCTGTGCCTCCAGATAAATCCATTTCCTCCCTCTCTGCTGTAAAGCAACATTTCAAGTGTTTGTGCTCCCTGGTGACCCAGCATCTCTGTCAGCCAAAACTTTCCTGGGAAAGGCTGGTGGGATCACAGAGCCCGGGGGAAGTGGCTTTGCTGTTCCCCTCTCAGCACTCTCGACTTCCCCTGGGGAACCAAAGGCTCTTTTTTGCTGCAAAATGCTGCATTTCAGCTGGGCCTCCTTGGCCACGAGTGTGCTGGAGCCTGGGCAAATGCTCCTGCTGCAAAGCTGAGCTGCCACCTTGGAGCTGTGGATGGTGCTGAGCTTCCTCCTCCTCTGCCACCCATGTGGGAGTTTCTTGGTGTGCTGGTGCAGACAAGTAGAGATAAAAGAAAGGCCTTAGAAAATCAGGCTGAATTACCTAAAATCAGGCCTGAATTACCAGCTATATTCTCTAAAATCAGGCTAAATTACCAGCTGGCCTGATACTCCTCAGTGCAGCTAGCTTGTAAGTTCTCACAAGTTAACCAAACAACCTATTCTAGCAGGGAAAACAGGCTGCACTTGTAATAACAAGAAATTCGTCCTGTGAGAATCAGTGAACAAAATATGTAAACAATCCAAGAATAGAGAGATTTGATGGAAAGGTAAAATGCCATTCACTAACCAATGAGTGCAGCAAGGAAACTGCTGCCAATCGGAATGGAACACAAAGTCTGTGAAAAATGAGTTTTGTGAGTAAAGAAGGGGCTTTTCTGCTTTAAACACTGAGTCTTGACTGCTTTATTGCCACAGCGTGCCATGGAAGGCACTGATGCTGGGATGGGGAGCAATGGGATACTGGGATGGGGAATGGGGATACTGGGATGGGGAGAGGGGATACTGGGATGGGGATAGGGGCTACTGGGATGGGGATAGGGGCTACTGGGATGGGGAACAATGGGATACTGGGATGGGGAATGGGGATACTGGGATGGGGATAGGGGCTACTGGAATGGGGATAGAGGATACTGGAATGGGGAACAATGGGATACTGGGATGGAGAATGGGGATACTGGAATGGGAAATGGAGATGCTGGAATGGGGAGAGGGGATGCTGGAATGGGGAATGGGGATACTGGAATGGGGAACAATGGGATACTGGGATGGGGAATGGGGATACTGGGATGGGGAGAGGGGATACTGGGATGGGGAATGGGGATACTGGAATGGGGAGAGGGGATACTGGGATGGGGAGAGGGGATACTGGGATGGGGATAGGGGATACTGGGATGGGGAATGGGGAGAGCGGACGCTGCAATGGGGAACAGGAGCTGCTCTGGTGTTTCAAGGAAAGAGGAAGGGTGAGAATGGTCTGTCAAAGTGGCCAGGGGGGTTGCAGCAGAGGCCAATGAGTGCCTGGTGTGTGTTTCAGGAGGAGGCAGCTGCCCGTGCTGTGCCAGGCAGGTTCAGGGCCCTGGCAGCTGAGGAGGAAGGCACACCCCCATCAGCAGTGCTGCTGCTGCCTCACTGGGACAGGATCAGGGTGCAGCAGTGACAGCTGCTCTGAGCAGCTCTGGGCCCCAAAATAACGCAGGAGGGAGCAGAGGGGGTGTGCCAGGAGCCTCTGTGTCCTGGACTGGTCATTGGGACTGGTCAGGCCGGTCCCTCACCTTGGCCTGAGCCCCAGCTCTGCTGTCAGTGCCTCCTGGAGCTGCCCCATCACCCCTCTCGGGCAGATGCATCTGCACTTGGTTTCCCCTCTCTGTTGCACATCCTGATTTCATGTTCTGCTTTCTGTTGTGTAAAAGTGACCATCAAACCGAACCTCCCAAGAGATCTCTTGCATATGCAGCTTCGAGATGATTTAGCAACTGATTCAGATACTCCGGATTCAGACACTGAATCAGCTGCTGCAGAACGTGCAAGACAAGCTGACCTTTCCAGGCCACTCTAGGTGAGTAATTTTTGCTGTGATATTTATTTCTGGATGGTTTTATTTGTTTTGTTTTTTTTTTTTCCTGAGAAGAGAACCAGGGGAGCACAAGTGCCATGTGCAAAGGCAGGGGATGTGAGGGCCATGTGCTGGCTGTGCCCCTTCTCCCCCAGTCTGTTTGGGAGAGGGGATTTGGAGGTGTCAGCACTGGCACCCTCAGAGCAGCCTGGTGAGTGGGTGCTGGCTCCAGCTGGTGCCTCCCAGCACCCTCTCACTGCTGTGTGTCACAGGGGGACACCCTGCAAAAATGTGTTCCCAGCCAGGACCAGAAACCCTCCTCGAAACCAGGGCAAGAAACCCAGCAAGGACCTGCTGGCAAACACAGCCCAGAGCCCCAGGAGCTTTGGGAGGTTCTGGGTACAGAAATTTCAGTTTTCTGCAGGCAAACAGGACTGGGTTTGTGCTGTTCTGGCTGCTGCAGGGGGTGCAGCTCTGCAGGTTTGGCACTGGGGCCGTGCCTGCTGCCCTGAGCTGTGCTGAGGGCCTGGGCTGAGCAGGAGCTGTGTTTGTAGGTCCACTGTGCAGCCAAGTGTGTCAGGGCAGAGCTGCACAGAGCACAGCAAAGCACGCAAAAAACCCGGCCCCAGAGGGGTCCTGTGTTTGGAGAGGCAGATGGCAGAGACTTCCAGAAGGTTTGCTGCCACTTCTCAGGATTTTTTGCTTGTGGAAAGGGCGGGGTGATGAAAGAACAAAGCTGTAGTGATTTTCTCAGCCTAGAACTGATCCAAGAGTCCCCAGCAGCTGATTCTGGGTCTGGAATTCCTGTCTGAGGCTGGCCTGGAGAGCCTCTCCCTTGCACAGTGGAGCAAAACAACAGAAACCACCAAAATGCCGGAGATGATTCAGCTCTTGTCTTTCTATTTCATTTCTGCAGTATTGGCAAATACCTGCTGGTAATGGCAGCCCCAAAGTGCTGCAGCTTCACGTGAGGGCTCTTGGGACAGGAGAGCTGCTCTCAGGAGCCACTCACCCTCAGATGAAGGGCCCCAGCTGGGAGCTGTGGAGCAGGGACAGGGCAGCAGGGAGCTGACCCCTGCCTCCCTTGGGACACTGCCTGGCACCTTCTGGGGTGGCTGCCAGTCCTTCCCTGGGCTGCAGGACAAACCTACAGAGGGGAGAAGTCAGCTTTGTTCTGAGGGATGTGGAGCAGGTGGAGCTGGAGCAGAGATCAGATGTGGCCCTGCTCCAGCAGAGCCGCTCACGGCGGGCAGCACCCGGGGGCAAGGGTTGGATCTGGAGCAGGAGCTCCTGTTTTAGGACCCAGCTTCTCTGATGAGCAGAGTAAACAGCTGTGAACATCTCAGCTCAGAGATGTCAGAGCTTGACCCCCAAACCACCGGAAAGAACCGTGACTGGCTTAGGTGAAAAGATAAGGGGACAGAGCCCTGTCCGCACACTCGCTCGTCCTTTCCTGGCTCAGGTGGTGCCACAAACCAGAGCCCTGTCTCTGCCCTCTGTGCTGTGCTGATTTCCAGCCTCCCAACATCAGAGGCTGCACAGCAGAGTCTTCCTCTGACCTTGAGCTGGCCGCCAGCCCCTGGTGCCCTGCCCCAGGGGACACTGGAGCATGTGTCACCTGTGCTGTTCTTTTCAGAGGGAGATGAAGGTGTTGCTGAGCCTGGCCCTGCTGCTGACATGGCTGGGTAAGCTCTAAGTTTTATTCCCCTCTGCTTTCCCCTCTGCCTTTGCTCTCAGCCCCATCAGTGTCTCTCCTCCTGTGGAGCTGCTCCTCTCCTGGGTGCCAGCCCCTCTCTGGCCCTGTGTGTGCTGATCTCCCCTGTGAACACCCTGCAAACTGCACTTCTGTCCCTGGATCTGCCCTGGACTGAGGCTCCAAGGCTTTGAAAGAAGCAGAACTGCTTCACCAACTCTAAATACTGGGAGAGGTTTCCAAGGTATTGATTTTGGCTCTGCTCGAGGCAGGCAGCTCCCTTGGTCCCCTCCGCTGGCAAATATTTGTCATTTTCAGCTCCTCAGCTGGTCAAGACCAACAGAACTTGTTTGGGAAGCTGCAGCACTTTGCATTCATTATTTACAGCTTTCAGACAAACACTTGGTGCCTGGCCAGGGCCCAGCCCTCGGTGGCTGTGGCCAGGCTGGGCGCAGTGGCTCAGCCACGAGGACGAGCCTACCTGTCTGAGCAGCTCCCCCGAGCTGAATCAGCTCCCAGCAAACAGCAGCAGAGCCTCAGCCTCCCCTTGCAGGGCCACTGCAGGCTGGGGCAGGTGGGGCTGACGAGCTCCAGTGACATTTTCTGCCCCACTCGTTTCACAGAACCTTTTAGCTCAGAGGGGACCTTTAATCCCCTTCCTGCCGCCGTCCGCAGCCGCAGCTGCCTCGTGGGGGCTGTCAGCTCTGTGCTCTTTGATGTTCCCCTGCTTTGCTGTTTTCCCACTGTCCAGCCGCTCTGGAAACCCCAAACTGTGGTTATGTGGCCAGACAAGTACAAGCCCAGGTCTGGAGCCTGTGAGCAAAGGGGAAGGAAGCCAAATGAGCAGTGAGGGAGGAACTGAAATTCGTGTGAAGCGCTGGAATCGCCCCTGGCCTGGAGGAGATGAGAGCAGCACAGGCTCTCCCAGGCAGTGAGTCACAGCAGGAGCTGCAGGCTTTGGCTCCGAGGCGAGGAGGGCAGGGGCTGAGCTTCAGGAGGGCAGGGGCTGAGCTTCCCAGCTCCCCTTCGGCTGCATCACCGGCAGCAGCCCTTGGTGTGGCGGCGGGAGGATGCACTGCCCCACATCCCGCACCCCTGAGCAGGGCTCGGGCACGGGCTGGGCCTCTGGGCTGCTCAGGGCCGTGAGCCCCAGGCTGTCCTGCACTGGAGACAGCCATGGGGACGGGCAGGCTGCAGCTGGCCCTCCTGCCCGGGCTCATGCTGCTGTCCTTGTCCCGGGCAGGGCGGTGCACGGGGGCTGCCGAGGTGTTCACAGAGCCCCAGCTCCGAGCTAGGGCTGGGGACTCTGTGCTGCTGCAGTGCCTCTTCCTGGACCCCGACAGCAAGGGATGGACCCTGCACAAAGTGGACTGGCTGCACAGGGCAGGAGCTGGCACACAGGTGGGTCAGGACAGGGCTGGGACAACAGGGACACGGGGCTGGTAGCAGGGGAGGGAGGGCAAGGCAGCCATGGGGAGGCTGTGGGGATGCAGCCCTAGAAAGACTGTGGGGATGCAGCCATGGGGAAACAGCCATGGAGAAGCAGCCATGGGGATGCAGCCATGGGGAGGCTGTGGGGATGCAGCCATGGGGAAGCAGCCATGGAGAAGCTGTGGGGATGCAGCCATGGAGAAGCTGTGGGGATGCAGCCATGGGGATGCAGCCATGGAGAAGCTGTGGGGATGCAGCCATGGGGATGCAGCCCTAGAAAGGCTGTGGGGATGCAGCCATGGGGATGCAGCCATGGAGAAGCTGTGGGGAAGCCAATCCTCCTGCCTCCAGGCCATGAGGAGAGGGAGTTTCCATGAGAGGGTCCCCGTGTGGGGGCAGTTCCAGCGGCAGAGGGGGAGCTCAGCTCCGGGTGCTGCATCCTGGGGCTTTCCCTGAGTGTGGCCCAGAACAGCCGCGGGACGGGAGAAAGTGTGAACCGAGAGCTCTTGAGGAGGAACAGGCACCTGACATCCTGCCCCTGCCATCCCGCACTGCCCTGGCAGGAGGAGATGGTGTTTTTCTACTACAGCAACCACGGCGTCCCCGCGGGCCGCTTCAAGAACCGGGCGCAGTGGCGGGGGAACATCTCCGGCTGGGACGGCTCCATCCTGCTGCAGGACCTGCGTCTCAACGACAGCGGCACCTACGAGTGCGAGCTGCGCCTGCTGGAGACCAGCAGCGTCTTCAGGAGCCGCACGGTGCTGCTCGTCAGCCCCGCCGTACCCAGAGGTGCGCGATGCTCCCGGGGCTGCCCCGGCTCGGGGGGTCCCGGCTGTGCCACCCCCGCCTCGGTGTCCCCCCGGTGCCATCCCCGCCTCAGTGTCCCCCCGGTGCCATCCCCGCCTCGGTGTCTCTCCCCGGTGCCATCTCCGCCTCGGTGTCCCCCCGGTGCCATCCCCGCCTCAGTGTCCCCCCGGTGCCATCTCCGCCTCGGTGTCCCCCCGGTGCCATCCCCTCCTCGGTGTCTCTCCCCGGTGCCATCCCCTCCTCAGTGTCCCCCCGGTGCCACCCCCGCCTCGGTGTCCCCCCGGTGCCACCCTCCTCGGTGTCCCCCCGGTACCACCCCCGCCTCGGTGTCCCCCCGGTGCCATCCCCGCCTCGGTGTCCCCCCGGTGCCATCCCCTCCTCAGTGTCCTCCCAGTGCCATCCATCCCCTCCTCGGTGTCCCCCCGGTACCACCCCCGCCTCGGTGTCTCTGGGGGTCCCCCCGGTGCCATCCCCTCCTCGGTGTCCCCCCGGTGCCATCCCCTCCTCAGTGTCCTCCCAGTGCCATCCATCCCCTCCTCAGTGTCCTCCCAGTGCCATCCATCCCCTCCTCGGTGTCCCCCTGGTGCCATCTCCTCCTCGGTGTCCCCCCGGTACCATCCCATCCTCGGTGTCCTCCCGGTGCCATCCCCGCCTCAGTGTCCCCCCGGTGCCATCTCCTCGGTGTCTCTCCCCGGTGCCATCCCCTCCTCGGTGTCCCCCTGGTGCCATCCCCTCCTCGGTGTCTCTCCCCGGTGCCATCCCCTCCTCGGTGTCCCCCTGGTGCCATCTCCTCCTCGGTGTCCCCCCGGTGCCATCCCCGCCTCGGTGTCTCTCCCCGGTGCCATCCATCCGCTCCTCGGTGTCCCCCCGCAGGTGCCGAGGATGTGGCGCCCCCGAAGGACTCCGGGTTCTGGCCGGCCGTGGTGGGCTGTGGCTGCGTGGCCGTGGTGGTGGCGTTCCTGGCCGGGCTCTGCGTGAGGAAGAGGTAAAAACGCTGCTCTGCGTTTGGGGGGTGAGCTCTCTGCAGCCCTCCCTGGTGCCCGCAGGTGTGAGGGTTCAGCTGCCCAGGTGTGGGGTGCCAGCCCCCTGCTGCCATCTAGTGTCACCGTGTGTGTCCCCGCGGCTCCCAAACCTCCTGGGCTGTGCCAGCAGCACGGATAGCCTGGCCCGGGCGTGTGCAGAGGGGTGTCAGTGTCCCGGGAGAGGGAGGGAGGGAGGGAGGGACGGGAGGAGCGGGTGATGCTCCTGGCCGGAGATGACACTGCTGCTGCCTTCCCTCGAGGTTTGCAACCGTCACGGCCCTGGAGAGGATGGGACAGAGCAGCAACAAAGGCAAAGCAGAGGTGAGAGTGAGGGGATCCCACCCTGCCCGGGCACCCGGGGCTGTTTGCTGGCAGCTCCAGCTGCACCTTGCTCCAGCTGCACCTTGCCCTGTGGCAGCCCCTGAGTGTTTGGGGGCTGCTCAGTCCCAAACAGCCTGATCTGCCCCTCGCAGGAAGCAATTTACACCTCCATCCCTGGAGCTGAGGTGCCCAAGGCCGAGCAGGAGGCAAAGAAGAAGAAGAGAGCTGAGGACACGTACATAACCATGGTGAGGAGCTGCAGCAGGCATGCTGGGACCCCCACAGCACTCACTGCCCCCCTCACCAGGGCCATGGCACCCAGGCCTCACTCCCTGTGCCAGATCCCATGCCCCCACACAGCCCCTGGTACCCGTGGTGACGCTCACTCCTTGTCCCTGCTCCCTGCAGCACCCGTCTCACTGCCGGGACAACGGCGTCTACGTGGAGCTGGCCAAGAGGGCCCTCCCGTCCGAGTGGATGGCAGAGGGGACCCAGGGGCATGGACAGAGCCAGGAGCCCCACAGCAGGCCGCAGGAGGCTCTGCCCCAGCCCCCAGAGCTGCAGAAGTAGCTGTGCTGTGGATGGCAGCCCCGTTCCAGGTGTGTCCGGGACACCTCTGTCCCTCTGCGGACTGAGAACTGGTGACACGTCGCTGTGTGCCCCGTGCCAGGGCACTGCCGGGGCACAGCCACCCCAGCTGTGTGCAGGGCACCAGGGGACGCCTGTCCCTGTGGCTCCTGCCCCCTGGACTCCAGAGAGTGGGCACAGCCTCACGCTCCAGCTCTGATCCTGGCCCAGGGTGAGGATCCCCAAGGGGGGAGATGCAGCAGGAGCTGTCACAGCGTTTTTCTGTACATAATAAAACTCAGGGAGTCTTCCCTGATGCTGTCTTCGTTTTACCTCCAGCCTGAGCATGTGATGTCCAAGTGTGCCAAAACCTGCCTGGTCCAGGGCCCGGCAGCCCCTGAACCCATGTGCAGCCTGGCACGGGGCACCCAGGCAGGAGCAAAGCCAAATGGGCCACAAAAGGGGTTCCCTGGCAGCAGGATGGGGACTGAGGGGAGCGGGGCAGAGCCCGGGGCACTGGGGTCCCCCCCGTGTGTCCCTGGCCATGGCCAGCAGCCGGTGATGGGCAGGGGGAGCCCGGCCACCCCTCCCGGGCCCCGGGGCAGCGCCTGGGCGGGCGCTGGCGCTGCTCCCGCGCTGTCTCTGGTGCCGGGCGCTATCTCTGGTGCCGGGCGCTATCTATAGATGTTTGACACCTCCAGGTGCGGAGGGAGCCGGGACCCTCCACCTCCCACCGCTGCCGCTCACTGCAGCGCCGCGCTGCGCTCCTTGGTTCTCGTTGACACCCGGCTCTCTTTTCCCGCAGGCGGCCGCGGGACGGGATTTGGGAGCAGCCAGCCCCCGGAGCTGGGGCTGGGGGCTCGGGGGATGGCACAGCGCCTTTGTAGGGTCGTGGCAGCCGTAGCAGCAGAGCAGAGAGGGCTTTGCCTGCCCAGGATGGGTGGCAGAGTGCTGTGCGTGCAGTGTTTGCTGAGCAGAGCTGCTGGGGCACTGCCGTGCCTGCTCTCCCGGCTGTCCTGGCTGTGGTCAGGCAGCAGAGCCCCTCTGCACCCCTGCCCTCTGCACCCCTGCCCTCTGCACCCCTGCCCTCTGCATCCCTGCCCTGTCCATCCCTGCCCTGTCCATCCCTGCCCTCTGCACCCCTCCTGCCTCCCAGCTCTGGTGTGGCCTGGCCCTGGGGCATCCCTCGCCTGTGTCCCCAGGGATGCTGTCCCCGTGCTGTCACTGCCCCTCTGGGCCCATCTTTGTCTTCCTGCCCCCATCCCTGCAGTGGGACCCAGGTGTGGTGCCCAAAGGCTCCCTGGGTGGTGCAAAGGGGACCAAAGAGTTTCTCCAGCCCTGTTGCTGCTGGGCAGAGCCTCCCTGTGCCAGGGCTGGGAGAGGAGGGAGAGGGTCCCTGTTATCCTGGGAGAGGGTCCTGCTGGAGAAGGGGAAGGAGCCTCCAGCAGTTTGGCAGCCCTGGGCGGTGATGGAGCTGTCCAGGAGCGGGCAGGTGAGCAGGAGAACCTCTACCTGCTGCAGCCCACCTGGGGCATCCTGCCCGGGCTGCTCGGGCCCCTCTGCTGCTGCCAGCCTGGGGCAGCCCCTCTGCTCCCTGCCCGCCTCCAGGAGGGCATTTCCAACCCTCCTGGGCCGCGCTGGGCTCTCCAGAACGGGAGCTGCTGCCGTGGATGGCGCGAGCAGGGCTGGCTGCCAGCCTCCAGCGGGGCGCAGGGGACACACCTGAGTGTCCCCACCTCACCCGGGGCTCGGGAACCCCCCGTGTGCCCCAGCCCGTGCGCAGAGCACGGAGCCGGCAGCGCCGGGAGCTGTCTGTGCCTGCAGTTCGGGGGAAAATTTTTCCGCCCTCCCACTCCGGCGGCTGCAATCCACCAACCACAGCATTTACTGCTTTTTTTCGCCCCAGCACCGCTCCAGCCATATTGGGCTGTGGGGGGAAAGCGGCTCTAATGTTCTATGTCACCTGCAAATAACCCGGGCGTTCGAAAAAGCACCTCCACCACCTCCACCACCCACACCAACACCACGTCCTCTCCACACACTAAAGTCCGTCAAAATGAGCCCGGAAGGCTGGCTCCCGCAGCCCACCCTGCTCCTCACTGGCCTCACCTTGCTCCTCTCGCTGGGTAAGTGTCGGCTTGAGCCCCCTTGCATGTGCCCAGCTGGGGAGACACCCGTGCCCCGGCCAGGAGCCCCTGCCCGTGTGCCAGCACCGTGCCGCAGGGATGGGCACGGAGGTGCAGAGAGCCACCAGCCGGGGTGACCTGCTTTTGGGCAGGGTGGGGGCTCTGGTGCCGCTGCATCTGCTCCTAAAATCGCCCTGCATCCCGCCTGGGGAGCACAGAGCCCTCGGCATGCCGGGCAGGGGAATGGGCTGCAGTGGGGACAGGGCTGGGAAGGTGCTGGGCTGCCTTGTGCTGTCCTTTGGGTGCTGCCAGGTGGGCTGTGGTGCCCTGTGGGTGCTGCCAGGTGGGCTGTGCTATCCCTTGGGGTCTGCCAGGTGGGCTCTGCTGCCTTGTGCTGTCCTGTGGGTGCTGCCAGGTGGGCTGTGCTATCCCTTGGGGTCTGCCAGGTGGGCTCTGCTGCCTTGTGCTGTCCTGTGGGTGCTGCCAGGTGGGCTGTGGTGCCTTGTGCTGTCCTGTGGGTGCTGCCAGGTGGGCTGTGGTGCCTTGTGCTGTCCTTTGGGTGCTGCCAGGTGGGCTCTGCTGTCCTGTGGGTGCTGCCAGGCGGGCTGTGCTGCCTTGTGCTGTCCTGCGGGTGCTGTGGCGGTGTCTGTGGCTGTCCCCCGCCCGGTGGCCGTGCCGGGGCCGGCTCCGTGCATGCCCCGCAGCCGCAGCAGCAGCAGCAGCGCTGTGTCAGCAGCCCCGCGGCCGCATCGATCGCTGCCGGCCGGGAACAACGGGAACGCTCCACTCCTCTGATCGCTGTCCCCGAGCTCCTGCCTGGGCTGCCTGTCCCCGAGGACAGAGCCTGGGAAGGAGAGCACAACACCCGGCCAGGGCTGCTGCAGAGGTTGCTGTTTGTCCCCCAGCCCCGGTGCAGCATTGGGAGCACTGGGAGCCAGCGCAGCGCTGCAGGACACGGCCTGGATGGTCCCGCGGGTTTTGGGGGTTTCTTTCTCCACCTCTGTTGTCCCCCAGGGCTGAGTGCCCGGCAGGGGCAAAGTTTGGACCCACTTGGGTGCCCCTAGGTCCTGCCAGGCCGTGGTGTCCCTGCTTGGGGTGGTGACAGGTTTGCTGCTGGCGGCACCTCATCCCTCTGTAGGGCCCTGGGGAGCGCTGAGGACAAGGGACAAGGCCAGGTCACCCACCTGCAGGCACACAGGGCACCCTGTGAGGGGCACTCAGACAATGGCTCCATGCAGGGATCCCCTCCAACCACTCCTGCTGGGACAGGCCAGCTCCTGCCTCCTCTCTCCCATCCCTGCAAGGTTTTCTCGGAGGCATCAAAGGTGGTGGCTGCCACAGGGCAGCAAAGCTGTGACCCTGGGACACTTCTTCCTGCCGTGGGTGCTGTGACCCATCCCCATGCACCAGCTGTGCCCACCCCTGTGTCCCTGCGCCCTGTGGGGCTGGATGGGGGCTGTTCCCCATGGCTGCCAGCCCAGCCAGGAGCTGTCCCAGGGTTTGGCCCTGCCCGAGGGCACTGCTCAGCCCCCAGGAGCTGCAGGGTGCTGCTGGCTCCCAGCTGGCAGCGGGAGCTGCTCAGCCCAGCTGTACCTGCACCCTGGGCACGGCTCCTGTCCCTGGCTGCAGAGCCTGGCCCCTTTCCTGCCCTGCTTGCAGGCGGAGCTCAGCCCGGAGCAGCCCTGACCTGCGCCCAGCTTGGCCTCGGCAAGAAGCTCTGAGAGCAAAGAGCAGCAGCCCGAGGGGAGAGGTGAGGTGATCACTGAAGCACCTGGTGGCAGCGTCCCTGCAGGGTGTCACAGCCCCCCAGGACACTCTGTCCCCTCCCAGGGCTCCCTGTCCCCATGCCCCTGTGCTTCTCAGGGCCTGGCCTGGTGTTTGCAGCCAGCTGGGCTGCTCAGGAGCCTGTGCCCCCTGCCCAGCCCGGGGACAGTGCTGGGTGCTTGGGTGCTGCTCTGGGGAGCTGCAGGGAAGGAGTGGAGGAGGGAGCAGGGCACAGAGCCCATCCCTGCCCCTCCCCAGGTGAGTCCTGCCCTGCACCAGGTACAGCCCCTGTCTCAGCAAGGCCGGGGCTCAGGGACTGGCCTTGCTCCCCCAGCAGAGACCTGGAGCTCGCTCTGCTCATTCCCAGCTGGGGAATCCTCGGTGGGCTCTGCTGGCAGGGGAAAGCATCGGCATTCCCCCGGGAGCCCCGGGGCCGGCCCTGGCGGATGCCAGCCCTGCTGCCGGAGCCGTGTCCTGCCGGCAATGCGATGTGATGAGCTCAGCCATCGTCTGCGTGTGGCTGTGGCGCCGGCCCCGCGTGCTGACGCTGCAGCCTCGCCCAGCGCCACCGATCCCGCAGCAGCAGCAGCAGCACAGCCCCGGGGGATGGCCGGCAGCAGGGCTGGCCTGCAGGCAGCACCGGCGTGGCACAGGAGGCTCAGCAGCCCTGGCAGAGCAGGGACCAAGCTCTGCCTGTCCAGCCCAGGGACGGTGCCGGGGCTGCTCCCCTTGTTCCTGCTGGGCAGGGAAATTCTGCTCCTGGCTGGATGCAGAGTGTGTGGATGTGCCTGGAAGGCAATGCCAGGCCCCAGGGAGAGCTCTGTGCGGGCAGGGCAGCATGGGGACAGGGTGGCAGCTCGGCTGCCAGGGTGGCTGCCTGTGACACCCCCCAAATCCATCTGCATTGGCAGCGCCCCCGAGGCTGGGCATGGAGGTCATGGCCCCTGCCATCATCAATGCCCTGAATGGCTCCTCTGTGAAGCTCTCCTGCACCTTCAACTCCTGCTACAAAGTGGAGAACAAGCAGTTTTCCCTCAACTGGACGTACCAGGAGTGCAGTAACTGCTCGGAGGAGCTGGTGAGTCTCGCTGGGGATGTGCTGGGGGCCTGGGAGCGGCTCAGAGGGTGTTCCTGGGGGTTTCTCACAGGGCAGGGAGGGGGTGCCTGGCCGGGCAATGTAGCACCCGTGGGGTGCCACGCGCTGCCTCACCCGCTGTCCCCACGGCTGCCCAGTTCCTGCAGTTCCGCACCAAGATCATGAACAAGCAGCTGGATCGCTTCGGGAACCGCGTGGAGTTCACCGGCAACCCCGCCAAGTACGACGTGTCCTTCACCCTCAAAAACGTGCAGCTGGAGGACGAGGGCACCTACAACTGCTACGTGCTGAACCCCCCGGACCGGCACCGGGGCCACGGCAAGATCAGCCTGAAGGTGCTCACCAAAGGTCAGTGGTGCCCCGTGCTGGGGGCGCCCACGGGGCAGGGTTTGCTCCCGGAGCCCTGCCTGTCCCTGCGTGCCCTGAGCCCGTCCCTGTGTCCCCAGAGCCCCCCAAGCACGACTCGACCGTGGCTGTGATCGTGGGCGCCTCCGTGGGCGGCTTCCTGGCCGTGGTGATCCTGGTGCTGATGGTGGTGAAATGCGTGCGCCGGAAAAAGCAGCAGAGGCTCAACACGGATGACCAGAAGACAGAGGAGGAAGGGAAGACAGATGGTGAAGGCAACCCGGACGAGGGCACCAAGTAAAGGCCCCCTGCCCGCCCCTCCCTCCTGCCCCCTGTACAGTGTGACCCTCTTGATGTGCTTCCCAGAGCAAGGATTTCTGTCTCCCCAGAGCATCCCTCCTTCCATGCCAACACCCACCCCAGCCTGGAGCAGGGCGCAGAGAGGAGGTCCCTGGAGCCTGGCTGGGCTGGGCAGGGCTGGGGAGAGGGGCTGAGGCCCCCGAGGCTGAGCTGGGACCAGCCTGTCCCCTGCTCTGAGTTGTGCCAGTGTAGTGAGGAGGTGCTGGGGTGGGTGAGGGGGGATCTGTGCAGCCCCTCCACATAGGGGGACTGGAGCAGGGGGTGCCAGGAGGGACAGAGGGGTCTGGGCAGCCCCATGCCCCATTGTCTGCTCTCTGTCCCATAGAAAATGTGAGCCAGCAGTCTGCCCTTGGGGTCAGGGCTCATCCCGAGCTGCTCCTGCTGTACCTGGGCCACTGGCACTGGTGTTCCCATCCCAAGGGATCCCCATAGCTGCCAGTCTCCTCCTTGCAAGCTCGTGCTCCTCAGGGACTGTCCCAGGCTGCTCAGAGGCCAAGGCCATGAGCCCACCCAGTGTCCTGGAGCTGTGCAGTGTTCTGGAACCATTAACAGCCCTTGGTGTGTGAGGGATGGACCCTTCTGCCTCTCAGGCTGGTTTTGGGTCTGAGCATCGCAGCCCAAGGTGCTGGGCTGACTTTTTTGTGCTCCTTTCCTTCTTGGGGAGGGTGGTTGTGGTGGAAAATGTCCTGCTGATGTGTCAGACTGGGGTGTGGGGAGTGCTGGGTGAGGCTGCTCGGGACCAGGAGCTGCTGAAAGGGAGAGGAGCCTTTGGGCACTTGCTGGGAAGGACTGGGCACAACAGCAGGCCCAGAGTTAGGACAGCTCTGTCACCCTGGAGCAGCCCCACGATGCTGAGACTGCCTCCTCCAGCCTCCCTGCAGAGCACTGCACACTGTAACTGCCATGGCAATGCACTGCCAGCGTGCCCAGCCCCGTGTGCCACCTGCCTCACCTGGCAGGTGAGCTGTGCTGGCTGCAGCCCCGGCGCTTCAGGCAGGGAATGACCCAGGGCAGTGTCCCCTGTGGCACCAGGCCTGAGCTTTTCTCCTCCCGTGGCTGCCAGGAGGGGGACAGTGCCTGGAGCCACAGGGGGACACTGCCCTGGGGCAGGGATGGAGGTCCTGTCAGCCACGAGCAGCGCTGCCAGGGGAGCAGGGACACCTTTGCCACGTCCCTGTGCAGAGAAGGGACACCTTTGCCACGTCCCTGTGAAGGTTCCATCCCGGCAATGCCATCAGGCCCCAGGGACGGGGGACAGCTCTGCCCTCCCTGCTCTGCCCCATCGCTTCCCACCCCGTCCATCCCACCCGACCCCGCTGGGCTCCACGCTGCTCCCGCCCCTCCGCAGCAGGAATGCGCCGTGTCCCGCGCCTGCCCCCGTTCCCCGGGCGGGCCGGGCTGTCCCGCCCCGCACGGTGCCCGCGGTGCCGCAGCGCTCCCGCACCTCCTCCTGCCGGGGCCGGGCTGTCCCCGGCTCCTGGCGGGACTGAGCCAGCACCTCGGGGGCGCTGAGGCCTCTGAGCATTGCACACAACCAGTCTTGCATCTGCCTTTCATTTCTTCTCGTGCACTATCCTTGGATTGCAACTCGCCAATGCATCTGTCTGTACACGGCCGTGCCCGGCAGAGCTGACAAATTCAGATCTGTACCCACGGGAGGTGCCCCGGGCGTGCGCCTTCCCCTCTTGCCAAGTGCTCTGCCGAGTGTGGGATGTTTTTATTGCTCTTTGTACAGTCAAACAAACAAAAGAACAACAAAACACCGACTTTGCCCTCGATGCTTTTGTGCCGCAGCCTGGAGGGGCAGGACGGGCCCCTGGCCTGCTCTGCCTGGGGGGATGAGCCCGTTCCTTGGTCCTGCCGAGGTGGTTTGGGTGCTGAGGGAACCCAGGGCACCCTGTGTGTGCACAGCTCTGTCCTGGGGGGTGGCACAGAGCCAGGGCAGCGCTGGGGGTGGGAGCGTGGCCAGTGCTGCCCCAGCCTCCCCACAGGGAGATCCCAGGGGTGCTCCACACCCACCGTGGGGCCTCCTGTGCCCTGCCAGCCTCTGCACTGTGCTCCTCAGAGAGCTGGCATTGGTGGCTGCTCGTGGCAGGTAAGGCTCAGCAGAGCCCAGGGCACGCTGGGGTGATGGACACCCGGGCCCGGCCGTTCTCCCGCTCCAGCAGCGCCGTGGGGATGCTCCGGAGCAGCACAACACAACTGGGGCACAGTCAATGGGCACATCCATCAGCTCAGCCACCGTGGGGACACGAGGGGAGCTCTGGCAGCACCCTCCACCCTGCCTCTCCCTGCTGCCCTTCACTTGGGCTGCCAAGCGCTGCTGCATCCCAACTCCTCACACAGGCAGGGGCTGCCCCAGGGCACTGCCACCCGTCTTGCCACCCTCCAGCCCTGCCTTGCACCCTCCCCAGCCCCTCACCTTGCCCAGCAGCAGTGCCAGTGGGATGAGCTCTCCCGGTGTCCCTGTCCCTGTCCCTGTCACTGTCCCTGTCCCTGTCCCTGCTGGGCACAGCGCCCTGGGCACCTCAGTGTGGGGTCAGCGCTGCGGGAAACTTCCAGCTTCCCATGGCACCTCTCCCTCGCCGAGGAAGGGCGCCCAAATCACCTCCACTGTCCTGCTGGCACAGTCCTGCAGCTCTGGGGAGTGCAGCAAATCGATCCCTGGAACAACTTTGGCGTGCAGGGAGGAGCAGCTCCCCAGAGGAGGACATGGGGCTGTCCCCACCAGCTTCAGCCATGGGCAAAGGGGGTGGGGGACCCCTCGGAGCTTTTAGGATGCTCTTTAGAATGTTGCTGGCAAAAAACTTGAGGAGAGCAGTGGGATCACAGAGGAGACCCCGTGGGACACACCAAGGGTGAGTTCTCCTCACTGCAGGGGCTGAGGGCAGTGACAGAACCCCCCAGCACTGGGGCTTCACGGGTTCTCCAGAACCATGGACATTCCTCGTTACAGAACACTGACATTTCCTGGGGCCAGGTGCATTACAGGTGCTAAAGAGCAAGAGAGGGGCTGGGAGGTGGCAGGGACCCCTGCCTGCTCCTGTGCAGTCGCAGGGCACTGCTGGGGTGTCTCAGGGGCAGTGCAGAGCCACATCCCTGCAGTGCTGCCCTGCTCTGGGGCCGGGGAGTGAGGAGAGGCACCAGGACAGGGAACAGCGTGGGGCAGGGGGGGCCGGGGCAGTGAGGGGTGCGAGGGGCAGCTCTGGGGCACAGAACAGGGAGGGTCCTGGGGCTGTGCCGGGTCAGGATCAAACTTTCTCCCGGGATACAGCAGGGCTGCCTCAGCGATTCTTGCAGATGCTCTGCAGTGGCTGCCGGGGGACACGGCCGCTCTTCCCCTGCGCGTTTAAAGGGCCGGTGGAAGGAAGGAAGGAAGGGAGGAAGGGGGTGAGGAACCTGTGCGCTCGGAGGGCAGGCAGCCCCGCGGCGGGGGCGAGCAGGCAGCGGCAGCGCAGGGAGAGGGGAAAGCTCCGCTCCGAGGCAGAGCTGCAGGCAGCCGAGAGCCGGGATGACAAAAGCAGCCAGGTACTCACCCGCAGTCTGTGCCCGGGAGCGCTCGCTCAGCTTCCAGCCCAGCCAGGACAGTCCTGCAGAGCCGGATCCCTGCGGCGCCTCCTGCCCACCGCCAGCTGCCGGGATGCCAGGCCACCTTGTCTTTTAAAGGACCTTGCAGTAAACATAAGGTGCTGATGGGAAGCTCTGTTCCAGCGTTGCCACCTCCTCCTCCCCCTCCATGGGCAGGAGGGCTCTGCCTGCTCCGGGAGCTCAGCATCGTCTGGCTCGGGCAGCTCGGGGAGGAGGCTGAGGCTGTCCTCGGGGAGCAGCGCCTGGCAGGATGCTCCAGGGCAGCCGGGGCCAGCGCTGTGCCAGGGCTGCAGCCCAAGCGCTCTGCTCAGCCCTACCTGGTCGGTAGCCACGTGGAGGGGGGCAGGAGCCCTCCTCGGAGAGCAGCAGCCGGGCACGTTAACCCTCCCGGCTCCGCCAGTGCAAGGCGAGAAGGACCGAGGGTACACAGGCACCCCCTGTGCCCCCGGCAGGCTGTGAGCCAGCTGGCAGCACCCTGAGCCCTCCTTCCTGTCCCCGGGGAGGTGACAGCGTCCGAGCACAGGGTGCTCGCCTTCCCTGAAACCAGACACGGCATCCTGGTGCTGGGCTCAGCAGAACAAGTTTCCGCTGAGCCGCAGGAACCGCGGGTCCCACGCCGGACATCTGCGAGCTCCGAAATGCCAGGGCAGCTGCTGCCAGCGGGGCTGGGGACAGCAGAGCCCTGCCCGGCGGTGGCAGCTGTCTCAGGGATCAGCGGGCCGAGGAGCCCGGCTGGAGCTGCCGAGTGTGACAGCTCCATCAGGCGCTGGTGACAGCCCTTGTCCCGCTGCCAGCCCCGGGGCTGCGTGCAGGGGGTGCCAGGCTGGCCCCCTGCTCAGCAGGGAGACGCGGCTGCAGGGCCGTGTCAGCACGGAATGAGCTGGGTGCCCACCTGCCCAGGGCACCCCGTTTGTGCCAGCCCCACAGGAGCTCTGGGGTATTTACTGGCCAGCCCTTGCAGCCGGGTTTCCCAGCCTTCCTGCCTCCAGAAGGATTCAGGGCTCTGCTGGCAAGGCTCTCAGTGGCAGTTTAGCCAAATGCATCCCAGCCTGCATCCCAAAAGGAATCCCAAAACTTGGCAGGCACCTGAGCATCCCGGGAGGGGCTCCTCCACACCTGCCCCTGCACCAGGGTCGGGCTGCTGCTCTTCCAGGTCCCCGCTGGGCAGGTCCTGTGTGCTGCATGCTGGCCTCAAAGTCACCTGTTTCTCTGGCCCCAGCAGCCCTCAGGCACCTGCAGGGGTGACAGGCATCCCTGCACCCCGAGGATCCCTCTGCCTGCCCTCTCACAATGAGTGATGCTCCAGCAAACACTGTGCTTCTCCTCCCGTCCCCACACAGTGCCTGAGGCGCTGCTCCCCTCACTGTGTCCATCATCTCACTGTATCCATCACCTCATTGTGTCCATCATCTCACTGTATCCATCACCTCCCTGTATCCATCACCTCATTGTGTCCATCACCTCCCTGTATCCATCACCTCCCTGTGTCCATCACCTCACTGCGTCCATCACCTCATTGTGTCCATCACCTCCCTGTATCCATCATCTCACTGTGTCCATCACCTCACTGCATCCATCACCTCCCTCTATCCATCCCCTCACTGTATCCATCACCTCATTGTGTCCATCACCTCCCTGTGTCCATCACCTCCCTGTGTCCATCACCTCCCTGTATCCATCACCTCCCTGTATCCATCACCTCCCTCTATCCATCACCTCATTGTGTCCATCACCTCACTGTATCCATCACCTCCCTGTATCCATCACCTCACTGCATCCATCACCTCCCTGTATCCATCACCTCCCTGTATCCATCACCTCACTGCATCCATCACCTCACTGTATCCATCACCTCCCTGTATCCATCACCTCACTGCATCCATCACCTCCCTGTATCCATCACCTCACTGTATCCATCACCTCACTGCATCCATCACCTCACTGTGTCCATCACCTCACTGCATCCATTAGCTCCGAGTGCATCTTCTCCCTGAGTGCATTCCTTCCCTGAATCCATCCCTTCCCTGAATCCATCCCTTCCCTGAATCCATCCCCTCCCTGAATCCATCCCTTCCCTGAATCCATCCCCTCCCTGAATTCATCCCTTCCCTGAATCCATCCCCTCCCTGAATCCATCCCTTCCCTGAATCCATCCCCTCCCTGAATTCATCCCTTCCCTGAATCCATCCCCTCCCTGAGTGCATCCCTTCCCTGAATCCATCCTCTCCCTGAATCCATCCTCTCCCTGAATCCATCCTCTCCCTGAATTCATCCCTTCCCTGAATCCATCCTCTCCCTGAATCCCTCCCTTCCCTGACTCCCTCCCTTCCCTGAATCCCTCCCTAACTCCCTCCCCTCCCTGAACCCATCCCCGTGCCCGCCAAGGCACCTTCTGCTGCATCAGCAGAGCCGTGCACGCTGCTCCTGCAGCACCGGCTGCCAGCACTGCCCTGCCCACTCGCCGGTATTTTTCCTGCCTCTCCTGCCAGCTCTGCAGCCCTAACGCCTCAACCCACAGGCACTGCTGGCATCCTCTCAGGCTCCCCTGGGATGTCCCCGTGCCCTGCAAAGCCTCCTGCTTTCCCTCCTCTCTGCTGCTTCGTGCTGCAGCGGGGGCTGGATGGGGATGGGGAGCCGTAAGGTGCCCTGAAGGTGACAGGCTGTGGCATTTTAGACGTGCAGGCAGCATCCCTGCAGGTGAGCCGCTCTCACACCCAAATCCCAATCAGTCCAGTTGGGGAAGGCCATGCCTGGTCCCTGGGGTGAGCTTTGCCAGGATGCATGCCCTGTGTCACTGCAGCCCAGAGGAAATCCAGCGCCGTTCCTGCTCCAGGAGGGCAGCAGCGCCTCCTCCCCTTCCCGCCGCGGCTGTTTTGGGACGCGTCACCTCCCGCCAACGCTGCTCCCTGCACAGAGCTCCCTGCTAATGGACCTGGGCACCGAGGTGAGGCTCTGCCTGCCCGCACCACGCCCGGGGCTTCCATTAGAAGGGCCCCGCGGCCTAATGGATGCGAGAAAAGGTGGCTGAGACGGGAACTTTGTGCAGCCAATTATCCCGGAACAAGAGCACGGTGAGAAAAATGAGTTCTGAGTGTTCCCTTTGGCACCAGGCGGGTCCCCCTGCAGCCATCGGGGTCTGGCTCTGCATCCCACCTGTGTCCGTGCTCTGCCTCGGGGATGGAGGGCAGGGACAGCTGGTGCCACACTGCCAAGGTGCCCCAAAGGGGAGCTGAGCCCCAGCCTTGTCCTGTTTTGTTATCCTGGGAAGCCACCGGCCTTAGTGGCACTTTGGCCTCTTCCCAAGGTTACCCTGTAACTCCCAGGTGCTCCCAGGTAACCCCAGGTGTGTTCCAGGTACATTTCACGCCCGAGTGCCGGTTCAAGGAGTGCCCTGGGTGTATCCCAGCTGTCCCCAGGTGCCCCCAGCTGTATCCAGATGTGCTCAGGTGTATCTCAGGTGTGCCCAGGTGTATCTCAGGTAACTCTCAGGTGTGTTTCCAGGTACATTTCACCCCGAGTGCCGTTTCAAGGAATGCATGTTCGAGAACTACCACATGCTCTACACCTCGGCCCTGCACCAGCAGGGCCACGCCTGGTACCTGGGGCTGGACTGGCACGGGTGGCCCATGGCCAGACCACAGGTACAAAAGGGCAAAGCTGCCATGCATTTCCTGCCCCAGCTGCTCGAGGGTGAGTCAAAATGTCCAAATTTGGGGTTTTAGACCCAAAAGTTGGGGTTTGAAACACAAAATTTGGGGGTTTGAACCCAAAAATTGGGATTGGGAACCGAAAATCCTTGGGGAACAAGGTCAGCACAGCCATATGGTTTGAACTCTTCCAGGGTTGGTGACTCCACCACTGCCCTTGGCAGCCTGTGCCAGGGCTGGACAACACTTTCAGTGAAGAAATCTTCCCTAAAATCCAACCTAAACCTCCCCTGACGCAGCTTAAGGCCGCTTCCTTTTGTCCTGTCATTTGTTACCTGGCAGAAAAGCCCGACCCCCACCTGGCTCCACCCTCCTGTCAGGGAGTTGACGAGAGCGAGGAGGTCCCCTCGAGCCTCCTTTTCTCCAGTTTAAACCCCCCAGCTCCCTCGGCCTCTCCTCCTCCCCCTGGTTCTCCATCCCCTTCTCTTGACACACTCCAGCACCTCAGTGTCCTTTCGAGGGGCCCAAAGCTGCTCCCAGGACTCGGGATGCGGCTCCATCAGTGCCGAGCCCAGGGGCACCGTCACTGCCCCGGCCCAGGGAGCGCTCCCCGATCCCCGGGCGGGCGGGGGCGCAGGGAGATGCGCGGGGGGATGCGGAGGAGCGCGGGGGATCGCGGAGGAGCGCGGGGGGATGCGGAGGAGCGCAGGGGGATGCGGAGGAGCGCGGAGGAGAGCGGGGGAGCGCAGGGGGATGCGGAGGAGCGCAGGGGGATGCGGAGGAGCGCGGAGGAGAGCGGGGGATCGCGGAGGAGCGCGGGGGATCGCGGAGGAGGGCTCAGCGCGGCCCCGCCCGGCGCGGCCCCGCCCGGCGCCGCTCGCCCTCGGCGGGGGCGGCCAGAGCCGGGCGCTGCGGGCAGCAGGGACCGCTCCGCTCCGCTCCGCGCCGCCCCGCGCCGCAGCCATGGCCCCGGGCTCGCCCGCCGCTCGCCGCCGCGCCGCGCCGCGCCTGCTGGCCGCGCTCCTGGGTAAGGGGCGCCGAGGGCTGCGGGGACCCCTCCGGGTACCGCCCGCGTCCCGTGTCCCCCCGCCCCGGCTCCCCGGCCGGGACCGTGCCCCGGGGAGCCGCGGCAGCCCCAGGCGGGGGTCCCCGCTTCGCACCCGTCCCCTGCGCCCCGCCCGCCGCGCCCGGGGATGCCGCCCGCGGGCGCTAACGCCGCTCTCCGCTCTGCAGACGGACGGTCCGGAGCGCCGGGGATAAGTCACTCGGCCAAGGTGACTTCGCAGCCGAGCCCCAGCTCCGAAGTCCCGGCTCCAGCCCCTGCCCTGCCCGCAGCGGCGCTCCCGTGGCCGGCGCTTCTCCTGCGAGCACTGCGGCTGCACCCCGCTTTGCCCCGCTGCTGCCCCGGCCGGCGGGGACCGCGCTGCTGCCTGCCCGGCACCGGGGGATGCCCGCGGGGAGCCCGTGCACTGCTTCAGCGCCAGCACGCCCGCCGACAGGTCATTGTCTTACGGTTCCTTTGGTACAACGACCACCCGCATGTGCTTGTCCCCGCCGCGGGGACCGACCCGGGCCGCGGGGCCGCTGCTTGGAGCATGATGCCCGGCCCTGTGGTCGGGGATGCCCGAGATCCCCCGCCACAGGGCGCAGGGAGGGGCTGGCAGCCGTTCCCTCCCCGCTGCACACCTGGGGCAGGCTCCGGCCACCTGCATCAGCCTCACGCTGCCGCTGCACTCCTGCTCCCGCCTCAGCCTGGAACCCAGGGCTGGCTGTGCAGCGCTTGCTGCTGGGGCGCTCCCGTGGGAGGCGTTTTAGAGGGCAAAGTTCTTAAGTTAAAGGATGCTGGAGACACAAAAGAGCATGTAAGTACCTGACCCCCTGCAAGATTTGGGTGCCAGCACCTGAGCTGGCAGTGGGGTGGAAGGAGAGACTCGGAGAGGCTTGAGAGCGCTCAGGGGTCTGGGGTGCAGGGCGTGGAGGTGGGAGCAGGGTCCCACAAGTCGCTCAGGTGGGCTGGGAGCTGGGGAGGGCGGTGGGCAGGGGAATGCAGGGCGGGTCTCTGTGTCTGTAGGTTTTGGGGATGCCGTGCTCTGCAGGGAGTGGCAGCGGGCTCCCGGCTGCAGCACGGAGCAGGGCACAGCCCCTCCCAGGGAGAGGTGAGGGCCGCGTGTCCCCTCCCGGAGCTCAGCGCACCTGGCTCGGGCTGGGCTGGGAGCTCCTCTCTTTGAACGCGCTGGAGAGGAGCCCGGCCCGCCTGCCAGGCACGGCTCGCTGCCTGCGCCAGGATGTCACGCTGACTTTTATGGGCAGTGAAAGTTTTTCTCGAGCAGCTTTCCCACAGATGGCAGTCCGGGGTGAGCACTGAGCCCCCTCGCTCTGGGGACCTCTCCCTCTGCAGGGGCAAAGCGCAGGCAGCCACGGCTCTGGCGGCAGCGGGAGCGGCCTCTCCCTGCTTCCCTGGGAAACGCTGGTGCCTGCAGGCATGGGAGGGAGTCTGGAGCCCCCACGGGAGCGGCCCTGAGGGTTGGGGGTCTGGTGGTGCGAAGTGCAGCAGCTTTGGGAGGGTTTGGAAAGGCAGTGCTGAGAGCTGGTGTGTGCAGGGTCAGTCAGTGCTCCCCCAGCGTGTTTCCCTCGGTGCTTTATTTAGTGGTATCATATCAGTTTTGTCTTCCTGAGAGCACAGGATGACAGGAACAAGGTCAGCCTCGATTTACCCCACACATCCAATTCAGGTTACATTCTAAGGGTGGCAGACAGGTTTTCAAGTGTTGCAAGCTGCAAGGAATCATCTTTCCTGCGAGTGTCCCCTTGCAGCACGCTGCAGCCTCAGAGGTACCAGCAGAGCCAGGCATCCCTCTGCCAACTCCTGCTCCAGGGGGACAGCTCCTGTCCCCTGGGACACTCCTGCCTGTGAAGTCCCCTCTGTAGCACCCCCAGGACTGCTCTAGGAGCCTGAGAGCTGCAGGAGATTCCATCTGCCGGGAACCACTCCCTGCCTCTCGAGCAGAATGAGGAGCGCTCCTGTGTAAAGTTAAATAACTCCTCGCCTGCAGTGCTTGCAATGCAGCACTGCAGCAGGGCCCGGAGCCCAGGATGCAGGGCTCACGGGCTTGGCTCCGGCTGCGACGTGCCTGGGGAGTTGTTAGCACCGGCTTGTGTGGGAGAATAAATCAGCAGCTGAGGCGGCTGCGGAGAGAGGAGAATCCTGACCGAGGGCAGCGTGTCCGAGCTGAGGTGTTGGGGCAGCTGGGGATCGCCTTGCAGCCCTGGGAAAAGCTCTGTGCCCTGGGTTCTGTGCCCGGGGAAAGCTCTGCAGGGCCGGCTGAGGTCTGGGAAAGGGGAGGACAGTGCTTTGCTGGGCTGTGTCACAGCTTAGCCGTGTCACACATCACCCAAACAGGACAGGGCAGTGCTGAGACGGGGATGTGGAGCGGGGCTGCTCCTATGGCCAGGACCAGAGCATCCCTGTGCTCCCAGAAAGGATCTGTGGGGACAGTGGTGGCCCAGCCCAGTGCAATGCCGGTCCCTGCACCCCGGAGTGCTCGGCTGCAGCTGGGCTCCTCCCTGCCCCTCTCTCCCTTCCCCTCTCTCCCTGCTCGGGGGGAGCCGAGGAGGAGCAGGACAGCCGCCTCCTGCAGTTTGAAGGTCATCAGGCAGCTCCGGAGGGAGCCAGGGCTCTCTCTGCTGGGCGTGAGGGGCTGCTCCCGAGGGCAGGGCAGGGCAGCAGGAGGGCGAGCGGGTGGCAGGCGGCCAGGACAGCCTCGCTAATTGCTGCTCCAGCTCCAGCCTGAAGAACAGAGCTCTGCTTTGCCTTGGCTTTTTTCTCCCCCTTTAAGGTCCAGCTGAGGCCTGTGGATAACATGCAAATCAGGGCTCTCATTTGCACGCTTTCTTGGTGGGGATATTCTGGTTCCCTTTGAACCCACGCTGTCTCTGAGGGTGACCCAGCCCCAGTCCCTGCGGGTCCCCTCTGTCACCGAGCCCTCCTAGGGCTGGGGACAGGCTCCTGCCATGGCAGCCTGGTGTGCCAAAGGGAACGGGGGGTGACAAAGCCTTGGCCTCACTCTCTGCTCCCCTCTCCCTGCCAGGTTTGCACGTCTTGGCCATTGCCTTCGCCCTGGAGGTGTCGGTGGGGAAAACCAACACGGTGACAGCTCTGAATAACTCCAATGTCCTGCTGCCCTGCACCTTCACCACCTGCATAGGCTTCCAGGACCTGGTCTTCAAATGGTATTTCAACACGACAGAGCTGGTGGGTGGCTCTCTGGGCTCTGCCTCTGCTTCCCTGGCAGGTCCTGCTGTGCTTCCCCAGCGCAGCTCAGCGCTGCAGTTCTCACAGTTCCCTTTCTCCTTGTGCAGGATGTCCTTCTCTCTGAGTGCCACCAGCTCTGGGGGGGACAAGGCTGTGCCAAGGGGTGACTCAAATACCCCAGAACATCGTGCTTTTGGCACAAAGCTGTTCTAGGTTTGCTGCTGCCCACAGGCTCATTTGTTTTCATAAATTGGCTGTTCAGGTGCAAATCTGCACTTAGGGCAAAATGTGGTTCATTTCCTCCTCCTTGGCTTGCTTTGAAATATGAAAGGTTCTGTATAGATTTGCTTCCTGCTGGGAATGTTTGGCTCCTCAATTCCTCAGCAGGAGGGCTGGTTTGGAGCACCTCTGGCCATCAAAGGAGCTCACTTTCTCTGGGGATCTCCCATTTTTTTGCATGCTCTGTTCCATTTCTTCAGGGCAGGTCGGATCTGCTGCTCCCCACCAGGATGTGCTTCAGGTTCCTCTCCATGGCCATTTCTGCTTTAAGGGGGTGTAATGGGACATTTGGTGGGGGTGTCTGTGTGGGCAGAGCCGAGTCTGGGCTCACCATCAGGAGAGCGTGAGCCTCTCCCTCATCCAGCTGATCCTGCCCCCTGCCCCTGCAGATTTACCACGGCAAGATAAAGACCAAGACCACGGAGCCCACCCTCATCTGGCACAACCCACGGGTGGAGTTCGTGGGCTCCACCACCAAGAAGGAAAACAACATCTCCATCGTGCTGAACAGCGTGGAGTTCAGCGATGCTGGCAAGTACACCTGCCACGTCAAGAACCCCAAGGAGAGGAACGCCCAGCACAACGCCACCATCTTCCTCACCGTGGTCCATAAGAGTGAGTGCTGGCCAGGGCACTGTGGTGGCCCTGGGCTGGTGGCAATGCCCACACGTGGTGACAGGCCCCATGGTTCATGGCTGTGGTGGGTGGCATCCCTGGAAGCCTTGTGGGGAGGGGGTTGTGGGTTTTTGGGGTGGGATGTGCAGCTGGGAGCGCCCCGCTCCCCTCCCGAGCCCCCTCAGCACCTTCTCTCCCGCAGTGGTGGAGACAGACAACACTGTGACCCTCATCATCGTGGGCGTGGTGGGGGGGCTCATCGGCCTCCTCATCCTCTTCATGCTCATCAAGAGGGTGGTGCTGTTCATCATCAAGAAGACGCAGGATGGGAAGTGAGTCAGGGGTGGGATCGGGGTCAGGGGGCCGGGCTCGGGGGGCTCTCAGGGGCTGTCGGGATCAGGCTCGGGGGGTTCTTAGGGCCGGGCTCGGGGGTCTCTCAGGGCAGGGCTCAGGGGTCTCTCAGCTGCCCGTGCACTCTCCCCATGCAGGAAGGAGTGTCTGGTGAGCTCGTCAGGGAACGACAACACCGAGAATGGCCTGGCCGGCTCCAAGGCGGAACAAAAAGCTCCACCAAAGGCATGAACGGAGCAGCAGCGCCCCGCGCCCGCCTCGCCCCGCCGCGGCAGCCCGGGCACGGGACCGGCCTTCCCCTTTTGTTTTCTTTCCGAACTGCCAGCGCTTGAGACATGTTCCTATTACACACGTGCCTGCAACCTGCACTGCTTCTCCGACAAGGCTGCGGCTGCCGGGGGGACTGGGAGCTTCTCGCGGACTCGGACTGGGAGGCTGCTGGGTTGAGCACAGGCAAGAGGGTGCCGGGCAGGGCAGGGGCAGGGCAGGGTGGGTGCCATGCCCAGGGCCGGGTGCTGGGCACCGGGGGCCCATTGGGTGCTGGCGGTGCTGAGCTGAGGTGGCTGGGAGCTGCTGCTGCTGCATCCAGAAGGTTTCTGGAGCAGGGCAAGGATGCTCAGGGCCGGCCGTGCAGATGGTGTGGGGGGAAGCAAGGAGGAAGCAGGGCCATGATAAGCACACTGGAGAACCAAATCAGCGACAGGGCCCCGGCTGTGCCTCGGTGCCTCCCTCCCACGGCAGGGCTGGGGAGGTGCCCGTGTCCCAGGGCCATCCCTGGGGGCAGGGGGCTTCTCCCCAGGCTTGGTGCTGCCCCCTCCCCTCTCTCTGGAGCTCGATGCTTTTGATGCCGGTGCCAAGGCTGAGCTCGTTGGGTGGATGTTTTTGTACGAGATTCCAGGGGAAAGCAGCCAATCGTGTTTCCCTTTCACCGTGGCAGGGAGGGAGCACAGCCGAGCCCAGGCCAGGGGAGCCGGGCTGGGGCTGTGCCACTGGCCCGCTGGGCAACCCTGGGCAAGTTGCTCTGCCTCTCCATGCCTCAGTTTCCCCGTCTGTAAAATGGGGACAAAAATACTGCTCTACCTCACGGGGTGGATGTGAGGTTTCCTTGGCTATGAGGGGTGAGTGGACTCACAGGATGTGAGACACTGAATAAGTGAGCTACTACATCTGAGCTTGACAATTTCCTTTAAAATGTGATTTGTTCCCTATTTCTCCAATTTGTGGGCGTCTGACAGTGACGCTGCAGGACAGGCAGCTCCCCTGGCCCCACAGTAAATTGGGATTCACAGCTGAGCCATGGCTCGCTGTGGGGTGCCCTGGCAGAGGTGCTGGAGTGGGAGCAGGTGAGGATTTGGTGGCCAAGGTGACAAGGAAAGGCTGGGTGCTACTTTCTCTGGAGATGCTGGAGCACAGCGGGCTGGTCACCCCAGGCTGGGCCTGGGGACACCCATTGGAGCAGGGCCGTGTGCTCAGGACAGGGGACAGGTACTGGCACCTGGCCCAGGCACGTCCCTTGGCTGTTGATAAGACAGGCAAGTGGGAGTCAGGACTTGATCTTCTCCCTGAGGGTCTGTAGGACCCAATCTGTGCTTCAGTGTCCCCACCTGCACGCTGGGGACAGTCTGAGCTACCTCTGAGGAGGTGTGGGGTGCCCTGCCTGGCTCTGCCACAGCCCCTGCTGGAAGGTGCCCTGTGCCAGGTGTTGTGACGTGCCAGGTGTTGTGACACCGCCAGTGCCACCTGTGCGAGCCCAGGAGGAGCCCAAGCCCTCCCAGCCACCCTGAGAGAGCCCGGCCCGCCCCTGGAGGAGCCCTCCCGCGGGGGAGGACAGCGAGGAGGCGAGGAAGGGAGTTTTTTAAAGACTATTTTTAGCTGTCCTAACCTGTTGGCCTTTTTTAGCCGGCGCGTGGACGCGGCTCCACTTCCCGCCGGATATGCAATGCTGCACTATGCATGGATTACTCCTCCGGCTCGCTGGGAAACGGCCGCAAAAGCACTTTTGGGAATGTAACCCCATGATCACACGGGTGCTCCGGGGGAGCGGGCTGCCCTGGGGGCTTGTGCCAGCACCAGCGGGGTCCCTGCTGTCACCGGGGCGCCCTGGGGGTGTGTGCTGCCACAGACACGTGTGTGTGTCCAAGCACGGTAGAGCTGCGCGGGGGGAGGCTGTGGGTAAGCACAGGGGGGGTGTGCCGGGCTCTGTGATGACTTACAGCACATCTTTGCACTGTAGAGGTTTAGTTAGCTTTGCCTTGAATGAAATAAAGTTTACGTTTACTAGAGAAACTCGCCGGTGTTTGGGGTTGCTGTGGGTGTTTGTTTAGGTCTGGGGGGTGGCTGAGTAAAAATAACCCTGTGAGGAAACAGGAGAAAGGCTCGGGAGGCTGAGTGAAAAAACAAATCCTTTCCTTTAATGGGAGTAGGGGGAGGCTGTAGAGCACAAACATCATTTCTCTCTGTACAACAGGAGTGAGCTGACAGCAGCTTGGCCCCCCAGGAGCCATCCTGCCACAGCGGGGTCAGCACAGGGCAATAAATTAAATCTTCCTCCAGAAGGGAGCTTGGGCCAGTGAGATTCCTTCAGTGGCCGCCACTCCGAGTCACCCTTTGCCTCCTTGGCTGGGCTCTGGCACCCTAAATCACAGCTGCCACGAGGCTTTGGGAGCCTCTCTCACCTTCCATGGCTGGAGATCCGTGGCCTTGCTGCTGCCAGAGCAAGGGCAGAGGGTGGGAAGGGAGGCTGGGGGCGAGGAGCGACCTGTTCCGGCAGGTCTCAGAGCTCCGACTGTGGGGAGAAAGAGGCACAGAGGGCGTTGGAAGCTCTGAAAGGGCGGCCAGAACAAGAGGAAAAGCAGCAGAAAGTGTCCTTTGGGGAGCAGCTCAGCAAAGGGAGCTGCAGGACAGCACTGACCCTGCGCACGGCGTAGATCCAGTCCAGGTAGGCACGGACGCTGGTGTAGACGCCGGGTGTGCTGGGGGTGCCGCAGCCCTGGCCCCAGCTGACGATGCCCACGACCTGCCAGTGCCCTCCCGAGTACAGCAGGGGCCCGCCGCTGTCCCCCTGGCAAGGACAGACCCTCAGGATGGCCCTGCAGAGCCACAGCTGTGCCCAGAGCAGCTCTTCCCTCTCAGGAGCCGTGGCACAGATGGGTGTGAACCCAGCCAGCCCCTGCCCAGCCCAGCCCCACACCTGGCAGGTGTCCACGCCGCCCTGGGGCAGCCCAGCACACAGCATCCTGTCGGTGACATCGCCGTGGTAGGCGGCCAGGTTACAGCTCTGCTTGTCGATGAGCTCCACCTCAGCCTGCTGCAGGCGCTCCGACAGCTTCCCTGGGGGACACACGGCCTCTCAGAGGGACCCTCCACCCCCTCTGCTCCTGCTGGGGGCTCTGCCTTGTCCCTGCCGCCCCCGGGCTGTGCCACTCACCGTGCTCCTCTGTGTAGCCCCAGCCGATCACCCACAGGGGGGTGCCCGGCACCAGCTCCTCATCAAAGTAGGGCAGGCAGATGGGCTTGGTGCTGTCTGGAAAGGAGATGTGAGGGGGGCTCACAGACTGGCTGGGGACAGCCACCAGCTGGGCACCCACTCGGTGCCACGCCGGGCATTGCCATCCCAGCCCGATGCTCAGTGCCAGCAGGGGACACTTGTGACCCCTGCCCCGGGCAGGGCTTTGCCAGGCCCACCTGAGTCACGCACGGGGGAGCGCAGCTTCACCAGGGCGATGTCGTTGTCCTTGGGGGACGCGGGTGTCACCTCCGCCAGGAACACCTTCTCCACGGCGATGGTGGCAGCGCCCGACAGCAGGTCAGAGCCGGCCCTCACACGCCAGCTCTGGATGATGGGGTTGTTCCTGTGCACAGACAGCGCTGTCACCCACGGGGACAGCCCCAGAGCCCCCTGCGAGCCCCGTTGGTCGGCTGGTTGGTCTCAGTAAGCATAGAGAGGTATCACATTATAGCAAGGGGCCAGCAGGAGAAAATGAGGTATAGAGGTTCCTGGGTGATTGCCAGAGTGCTGAGGGTGCAGTTACCGCTGAGGAGGACAACGGAGAGGAGGATAATTGCTAGGGTGACCTCATAGGAGATTGTTTGAGCTGGTGCCCGTAGTGCCCCAATCAGGGCGTAGTTTGAATTGGAAGCTCAGCCTGACCATAGGATGGAGTGTCCTGCTAAGCTCGACATGGCTAACAGGCAGAGTAGGCCTAGGCTGACAGGAGATTTGAGCTCAGAGCCGCGGGCAGCGCTCACTCACTTGAAGCAGTGCGCAGCCGTCAGCACCCAGCCGGGCCCGATGATGCTGCCCCCGCAGATGTGCTCCTTCCTGTACTGCAGGCTCACCTGCCAGGGCCACGCCTCGATGGCGGCCGGGCTGCCCCCCAGCACCCGCGGGGTCCGCACGCTCTGCCCGCAGCCTGCGGGGACACGGGGACACGGGGGACACGGCAAGCCCAGGGACAGCAGCGCGTCCAGGGTGCCTCATCCCCACAGTGCTGCTGCCACCCCTCGTCCCCAGGCTTGATGTGAGGGGTCCAGCCACCCCCTGCCTGCTCCAGCCCGCCAGATAATTAAATTGATAATTAGTTTAATCCGGGTAATTTGACAGTAAAGGTAAAGCCAGGCGGGCAGCTGGGTAAGCCTCCCTTAGGTGTTTCATTGCTGGGAGGTTTGTGCTGGCTTAACGAGGTGAGCAGTAATTAAATCCATCTTTCCTCATGCAAACACTGTGGAATGGGCTTGGGATGGAGCCACACTCCCACGGGGCCATGCCAGGAGAGAGGCCCCAGTGCCCACAAGGCCTAGGAACCATGGTGGTACTTACTGGAACAAAAGAGTGACACAACCAGCCCCGAGAGGCATTTCCTGCAGGAGGAAGGAAGAGAGCTGGGTTTGGCTCCTCTGCCAGGCACCACAGGAGGAGTTCCCCATACCGTCCCCACTCACCTGCCTGGCTCAAGCACCTGGAGGCTCCCATTGCTCAGCACGACCTCACGGGGAGGCAAAGGCTGCCCCGCGCTCACCTCCACGCCCTGGAAAGTTGGGGTGCTGGAAGACATGGGGGGACAGGGCTTCAGGTGTGGGGAAGACAGGCACTGGATCCCATAGGAAAAAGGGGCTTCTGTGGGACAGGGGTGCCAAAGTGGGGATGTCACAGCCCTGGAGGGCCCAGGAACAGGGAGGGGAGAGAATTCCCTGCTGTGCAGAGGAGAGAGCAGGTGGCTCAGGGAGAACTC